AAAAAAAAAAAAATATATATATATATATATATATATATGTTGTGACAGGGATCTACAACTCCAGGGCTCAATTAAACGAAAATTTCATATAACCCCCACAACTTTTTCTTTTATCGTATTCATAAGTACGAGGGAATTCATAGCTAAAGCTCAAATAGGAAGCATTAGGTTTTTGTAATTTCACTGGCTTCTATATAGCACATTCAACACCAAATAAATGAAAAGCACAAAGAATGATCACTGCTGCCCTTCTGCGGCTATGGATATCAATCCTTCAGACTACTTTGAAACAATGTGAGGGATATTGAGTTATGGTTTAATATGTTGACGTTTCGGTACATTGTTATAACAAGTGGCCCATAAATACATAAAAAGTGCATTTATTTTCAGGAAAATAAATTAGAAAATGAGAAAAGAACCTTCAGGACAGACTCTGCAGTATCATTGGACAATTCTTTTTCATTTGGCTTAGGCAGCAAAACACTGACGTAAGCAGGTTGTACAGCAGCATCAGCTGTGGAGCTATCCTTGCTGGTTTTTAGTATGCTCAAATTGGAAGCAATCCTAGGGTTTGTTGGAATCTGCAGCTTGGTCCTTCTAGCTTCCAAAGGTGGAACAGATTGTGAGGGTAACTGATAGCTCTGGGGAGCCAAATGTGCTGGATATTGTAAATTGGGCCCCTGGGGACCTGCACTTTTCTGTTGATCCTGAAAGCTATCATAAGAAGTTTTTAAATCTAGAGGCTTTTCAAAGTGAGGTTGAGTAGCATTAGTAAGGTGCACTTGAGAATTTGGAGTCCCATGCTTCCAGTAACCATCATGATTACCACTACTTACAGCACCAGGCTGGAAAAAAGGGCAAAAGAATAGTGGTTCAACTGACCAAATAATCGTTGCAAATTTTATAAATAATCACAAAGTTTAAGCATTGTCCGCAATAAATTGCAATTATTTAAGGATGTCACGAAAGTAATCAACATTATGCAAAGAACTATTGAGGGCAGTTTTGAGCTTGCAAAAAACATAAAACAGCAAAAAATCGACAATTAGAGGAATAAGATGAACCATGGGCCATGTCAGTTCTAACTTTTTATCAAAGAATCAAAAGTCAATATTTAAATGCGAGGGTTTACAGGAGACAAAATGAATATGAGTTCAAACAACTAAAGAGAGGTACAAAATTACGGAAAAAAGGGAGCAGAAAAATAAAACAGATAATCATGGTTAAACTAAAAGAATTAAGTGCAGACAGAATTATCCATTTGGCTATCCTATCACATCTCCACAGAAGCATGAAATTCAACATAGAACAAATAAATTTCATATCAATTATACCACAAGTACATAAAAGAAAATTTTAAAAATGTACATGCACTTATACAAGAAGTTATTCCAATCATATACATGTTAAAAACGAAATTCAAACCTGAGCAGAAACCAGTTCAGATGAACCAGATTCTGGCCGCCATGAGGGGGTATATGAAGGTGGAGGTTGGCTGTTTGGTGCAGGATAATTAGTTGAACCATGAACCTGATAGCCTGCATTAGCAGTACCCGGCATGGACAGTTTTTCAGTCCCAGGGGCACAGCTAACTTCTGTTTGACTGTAGTAATCGGCCCACTGCTTGTAGTGTTGTTGATACTGTAGAGAATTTGCATTTGTAGAACTCGAACTGTAAGCCCCACTAGAATCAGTTGTATACTGAGAATACTGATTAGGAACATAATTTCCATAATTGCCACCATTCCATGAGGAGGTAGTCTGATTGCTATAGCTGCTAGTTGGGTAACCTCCAGCTGTCTGATAATCACCAGGATTGTAGTAAGTGGTTGAATAACTTGTAGACCCAGCATAAAACCCTGTATTTTGATATGAGGAAAGGGGCTGATAAGGAGCACCTGTGTTTTGATATGCTCCTACAGGCTGTGAATAAGAATGGTTGGGTTGCTGCTGATAGTTGTTATAGTAACCTTGGTAACCGGCATTTGCATAACCATAAGGATCAGAAGAATTGGAATATGGTGCATAGGCATTGTAATCTTGTGGCGCATTTGATGTCACAAAACTTGATGAACTACAAGCAACAGAAGACACGTTTAGACCATCTTGTACATTTCTTGCAGGTGGGAGCACTTGTTGATTATATTGGAAAGTGGAATTTGGGAGCAACCCATTCTCATTGGAACTGCCATCCACCTTGTGATTAGCCCATGCTAAGGCTTCTGGAGCGGATGTCAAAGGCAGATATGTTGATGTCGTCGCTGGTTGATTTCCGTCACCAATGTGTTGATTCTGAAAAACAATATATATGGAAATATATTAGGTCAGCATTGCCATCATACATACAACTCCACTGAACTTGTATGCAATGAAAATCTAAATGGCCAGGAAGTAACAGAAATATTCATTTCATGTCTCTGATTACAAAAGCCAGAAATAAAATAAACATAACACGCATACATGCATGAAATAAAATAATAGTCATCTATGAGGACGAGCTAAAATCGTCACTTGCTTTATCGAATTTTTTTAATGCAACATGAGTAATTAAAATAATCATTCTAAGGCCCCCTTAATTTTCCTGTGATTGTACCTATGTCTAGGGTACCAGAATATAACGAAATCCATGCAACTTGGCTAGAGTGTTATACTGTTGCAGTCAAGATTGGGAAAATGAAATCCACAGTCTTCCACCAAAATCATGCCAAAAAAATGAAAGAAGGAACAAAATACTCAGTCACCTTTCTCCCCCATATCTCAAAAATGCATGTACAAAAAACTCAAATATTTCTTCGCAAGAAGCAAAGCAAACATATAAAGTAATTAGGTTCAAGTTCAACGAATCTCAAGGTAGAAATAACACAATACAGAGCTAGAGACCTAGAAGAATAGGTCACGTTTCCACTACTCGTATGGGCACATCCACAGACTTTATTAAGTACCAAAACAGAAAGCGGTTCCGACTTATGAATGAGCCAAACACGTTTTGTTTCGAGTTTCATATACAGTTTAACTTCCAAGTAAACCACGAAATTCAATATAAATAGCACACAATGTATAACATTTATAAGCTATGGAATGAAATAGATATATTACCTCGAGCGAACTAGGTTGCGCAGGAACTAAGGTTTCAGTATTGCCGCCTTGATTCATCGTCAAATTAGCATCCCGGAACGAAGCAAAAGCTTATAAGCAAGGATTAAGGTTTTTAATTTAGTCTAACCAATTCTCTCTACGGCAAAGATGCAAAACCCTAACGGACTCTCAAAAATAATTACCAAAATCAAGTCCCCAATCTATTCTGAAGCGTCACGACAATGAACAATCGAACACTAAACGCACTAACTTTCTCACACCGGAATCAGCCGATCCGAAGTCGATTGAAGAAACCCGGGAACAAAAATTCGAGGAGATCAGAACGAAAAAAAAAAAAAAAAAAAAAAAAAAAAAAAAAAAAAAAAAAAAAAAAAAAAAAA